TGTGTGGAAGCAGGACCTTTCTGAGATGTGGGGAAGCTCAACATGTTTATTGTCTGGGATTCCTCACTGACACGCGACCGTCTGGCGTGCGGCGGGCAGGAGTTCAGCAAGGAGGACGATGCACTGGAGACGCTCCTGGAAAACGTGGTGGGCCTCAGGCAGATGCTGGAGGGTGCCGCTGACGCCCCCTGTGCCCCGGAGCCGGAGACGGAGCCCACCCTGCCAACGCCTGACACCTTGCAGGCCCAGTTTAACCACAGGTCCCGTCCCACTCGACGCCACCCTGCAGGCTGCCGGCACTCTGTGCTTAAGGGGCCAGACTAACAGTCAGAGCTGACAGCTGCACTCTTAGCTTAGAGGGCATGTTTACAGCTTTACTGCCTGACAGATGTCAGGTTTACTGCCTGCCGTGTGCTTAAAATATGACCGTGAAACACCTCCGTCTCCATAGAGATGACCCCTGTGTCCCCCTGCAGGACGGTCTATGTCCTCTCAGACGTGTTGGATGATCAGCTCAAGGCCCTGTGGTTCTCTCCCTTCCACGGTGAAGACATGGACACTGAGCTGGACATGGTAGGTGGCTCTGCACATGTGTGCGTGCGCATCCCCATCTGCTCCCATCTGACGGGTGCCCGCTCTCTCAGGTGAAGGTGGACCTGGTGGGGCTGGCCGAAGAGTGCTGTCCCGAGCTGGACCTGAAGGCGGAGCTGGAGCGCTCTTTCCTGACGGAGCCCACCTCCCCAGGGCACACCAAGGCCCCCAAGGTCTTCAAGCTGGGCAAGCACAAGCACGAGACCTTCATCACTTCAAGGTGGGAGAGGGGGGGGGCGTTTCTTTAAATCATGGGAGGGCGTTTTTAGTTCACGTGATTTGCTGATGGGGGGTGTTTTTTTCCTCTATGATTGGCTGAAGTACATTATTCTAAGTCAGTTTTTACCAGTTTTTTCCCGTTTTACCTGTTTTTACTTGTTTATATTGAGGTCATTTCAGTAGCCAATCAAAGACAAAGCAAGCAACCGCCATGCTTCCCATTACCTTGGGATCATGATTGTTTGTCATTCTTCCTAACTGCCTTTTTTACGGAACTGCATTGCAGTCACTTTGTGAATAATCACGGATGGCTTTTCAGCGCAGGATTATTATAAATCTGCCCCACTCCTCTGGTGTTGCAATCGCCTTTTAACATCTGAGCGGTTCGTCACAGGATAGACCAGAATTGCCTGTTTTTTCCTCTTATTTTTTTGTTATATAATTGTAATAGCCAGTTCACGGCAGAATCAGCTTCGTGGCTGTTTGTCCTCCACGCCCATCTGACTGTTCTGGTCACTGCGGGTGTGGAGCGTCCTGTATTAGATATTTACATGAATGAGTCCATTGATGTCACAGGACTGGGTGGTAAAGGCATTCCTGCTTGACTTCCTGCCTAATGATTTTTCTGGTCCCTCCCCCGCCGGCTGCAGCGGGAAGTCGGAGTACATCGAGCCGGCCAAGCGGGCGCATATCATGGCCCTGCCGCGGGGCCGAGGCCGCGGGGCCTTTGGGCCGCAGTGCCGGCCGCACGACATCTTCCGGCAGCGCAAGCAGAACACCAGCCGGCCGCCCTCCATGCACGTGGACGACTTCGTGGCGGCCGAGTTCAAGGACATCGGGCTTCCGGGGGGGCCTCTGCAGGTGAAGCGTGTGCCCAAGGGCTCCCCCAAAGTGCCCACGCGGGGGCTCTTCACCGGGACCCGCGGCGGGGGCCGTGGGGGCCCCTTCCACAGCCAGACGCGCTTCTTCACCCCGCCCGCGCCCAAGGGCGTGCTGCTATCAGGTGCGCCGCTCGCGCACACGCGGCCACATGAACACGCTACTGACAGCCGTGTGTGTAGGCGTCTGCCGCTGTGTACTTACGTTCCCTCCTAATGAGGACGGTGTTGTCCCTCTCCATAAATACAAGGGATAGACAGATTTCTTCTATAGCTTAACAAGTAGGGCATTGTGCTAACAGATGCAGTGGGTGTGGGTTCAAATCCCAGGGAGCATAAACAAACGGTAACCCTTCCCTCTACTGTAAGTCGTTTTACATAAAAGTCTCAGATAAATAAATGTCAAACTCGCACGCCAGGGTCTCTGTGGCTACAGAACGTTTCCAAGCCTAAGCCTGCTTACAGACAGCCATGCCCAGCTCTCTGCCTCATGATCCGGCCCTCTGTTTGACCAGCATGTCTGTCACCCTCCCCCCGCAGCAAACTACACCAGGCGGGAGGGGGGTCGGGGATCCAGCTGGAGTGCACAGGTGACGCCCGTCACGCACCGGGGGACGTACAGCGAGGCTCGAGGCGGACAGAGTAACTTTGCCAGAGGGCCTCTGCCCTCCCGACAGCCTCCTGCAGGTACGTGGGCTGGCAGGGACCTGAGCAAATGCTGCTTCGTCAACATATGAAATTCAACCTCTTCCAGGTTTATAAATGGATTAAAAAAAGTGGTGATATGGGGAAAAAACAGTGTAATAAACCAACTGTTAATGGACAATTCATTTTCAAATTTAACAGACAGTTTTCATTCTTGCTCGATGTAACATTAATCAGATGTGTAATTTATTCCGGAGAGAAAAGGCGGCTGTGTGTGAACCATATGTTGGAGGTTTGTTTAAAGAATTACATGAGCAAAGAGAGCAGGTTGTGTTTCCCGCTCCCGAATCTCAGCGTGACCTCAGACGCCCGTGGCGTCGTGTTTCGAAGAGCCCAGTGGCCCGCCATGCCGTGAGCGTTCCCTCGATCCGTTTAGGAACGTCACATGGACTCTCGCCCCCCCCCCGTTGGGCTGTGGCTCACGCCTGACGTGGAACTTCGTCGGAAAGACCCTCTACGCCTTCTCCACATCCACACAGCACCCGACACCCACAGCGCTGACAGCTTACACCTGCTGCGTGTCAGAGCCCAAGGTGTCAAAGATATCTCAGAAGATCATAGTAGGATGTCGATGTGAATTTGCTCATCCTCACGTGTCCGGGAGAGACCTGCTTCTTTCTGGAACATTCCTAACTCCACCCGCCACGGCCGTACCCTACGTCCTAAGCCCCAGTTAAGGTCTCGGTGGAGCCTTGTTCGTTTCCCATAAGTTGTGTGTCTCCCAACGATTTTTCTCTCTTCTCTGTGGGGAAAAATGAACTGGGGCGTTGTCTTGTTTTTTTTTCCCCTCACTACTTTTCACGTCAGGTTTTTTAGGGCCCGTTGTGCGGGTCGTTTGAGGTGTGCCCCTCCTGTCCAAACGATGCTTATCTTGGCAGTTCCTTTTGTTTCCATAAACGCTCCGGGAACACTCTGGGCTCGTTCAGGCATTTGTGCGGCGAAACCCTTATAACGAGAAAAACCTGAAGAGGAGTGGATTTAGGTAGGAGCAGGACCCACGGAGAGGGCGGGTCTTGGTGCGCCCTCCAGTCCCTCAGCGCGGCGCCGCCTGTTGTTGGGTCACCTCCCAGTTAGCAGTGGGGTTGTTGGGATCTGTGATTTTGCTTCCTCCACTTTCTGGTTTGGTAGAGGCTCTTGCTTTGGATAAGTAGTTTGACATGAGTAGAGAGGCTGAATATCCTCTCACTAACCCCTGTTGTGTTGCCTGCGGGTGTTAGTGTGTTGATGTGTTTAACAAAGATCTTTTTCAATGAATGACGCCCAGCAACCAGGTCTGTTGATCAATTCCAGAAGTCGAGCAGCTTGATCCTGTTCACATTTACATGGCAGCGCCACCCACTGGACAATTTTGGTTCTGCATGGGGAAGTGAATCTGAGCCATGGATGCGCTGTTGTATATGGGGCTAATCTGTCATATTTGACTCCAGTGGGATAGGATGGTTTCTAGCCTTGATCATGTGACGGAGATGCGTGTGGGTAGTTATCTGTTACACATCTCACCTGTCCTCCCCCCCAGCAGGTGGGTACAGGCTGGCTCCACGAGACAGGACCCCACGCGGCCGCGGGACGGGACTGTCATGGCTGAGCAGCGGCGGAGCCGGCACTGGAGGGGGCGGAGCCGGCACTGGAGGGGGCGGTGGGGGGGCCAGCAGCTCTCGCGGGAAGTTCAGCAGCGGGGGCAGCGGCGGGAGTGGGCGAGGAAGACACGTGCGATCCTTCACCAGGTGAACTCCAGCTTGACAGATACTGGACAGCCACTCGAGCGGCGGGCCGGGCTCCCAGAACACGTCCACCGCACAAGGGGATTAATGAAGACTTTGGCAAAGACTTGGATAACGAGCAAAGCTTTTTTGTATGTATGCGTGTGTATGTGTGTGCATAGATTTTTTTTTTTTTAATACTGAACTTCTAATAAAAACTGCACCCAGGTTCGCTGTTTTTCTACATGACTTTGTGTCCAGTTCTTTGAATTTAAGGCACGTGGCACATTTTTTTTGATGTGTGTATTCCACTTAATAGTTGACTACTATACTGTCAAGGTAGCTGACTTCTGTCAATGCCTTCATTGGTGATTGTTACATAACTGTAGGACCGTGATGGTTCTTATATCACATTTTCTTTATACCCCTCAATTTATTAGTGACATGCGGATGCCACAGTAAAATCACAGGATTGGGTAGAGAGGATACATTCAGCAGCTGTATCTCTGACTGCCGGAACCCGGGATCGAACCAGGAACCTTTAGATCTTCAGTCTAACGCTCTCCCAACTGAGCTATTCCGGCACCCCACGAGCCATGCTCACAACCAGCAGTATGGAAAAAATGGCAGGAAGCCAAGGGCCACTTTAGGTCGTTCTGATACTGCAGAAGATGCTTTAACCATCATTGTCTAATTTGCATTTAATTCTCCAGTCTGGTGGAAATGGTTTCATTTTTCCCCTCATAGTGGTAAAAGAAACGTTGAGAATTAAAACCATACCATAGCACTTGAGGACGGGATGATAACCTGACAGCTGTGACTTTGGCCTTTTCACCGGGCTGAGAAACAGTGAGGAAGCAACCGCGAGAGCTCAAAGCCGGGTAAGTCAGATAAAGAATGGCTTACATCTATTTAATACCTTGTTTATTTTTAAAGCAAGCAAAATGTAAATACAGAAATACAAACATACTAATTTTTTTTATAACTGCCTCCCCAGAACTGTCATATCAGTCCCTTATGATACTGCAAAATTTCCTTGATGACCTAAGCAACAGAACCATGAACTGCAATGTTTTCAGAAAATTCCCTGTTGACGACAGGACTCCATCTTCATGACCATGACACGGGTCTTCGTTTGTGTGACGGAATCCAAAGCACTCCCCTCACGTCGAAACCAAACTACGTTTGCTCATTAGCCTTCAACTTGTATTCCGCGGTACAAACGGGAAGGAAAAAAAGCCATATTTCTTAGTAAAGTCTGATCAGTCATTGGTTTTAAACTGAAGAGGCATAGAACAAGACAGGCATCAAAAGGAGATGACACTAGCTAAGGCCGATTCGTTAACGAACGGGAAATTATAGAGGCGAACAGACAGAAAACCTCACTGAACATCACAGCTTCCACATTCATACTGACCTCACTAATAATATACACACCTCTTTTAGTTAGAAGGTTGAATGCTAGTGATGGCCGAGGTGTGTGTGTGTATTTTTGCAGACTGAATGAAAGCCTCGTGCAACTGACGCACAAAACAATCCACATACCACCCTGTTCAATAAAAAAAAGCACTTACAGAAAAACGTATAAACAGTACGGAAGAGAGTAAAACGTATTAAACCCTTGACTGTGTGTTTGCTCTTGTTGAAAAGGCGGGAGTGGCAGATAATGTAGGTCATACGGGAACAGCTGCGAGGGGCAACGTGACCACGTGCCTCGGCAGCGCCTCAGATGACCGTCACCTCGCGGGACTTCCTCTTCATGCAGTCGAGCGTGAGCCCATGGGCTCCGCTGGCAGGCCTGCGCAGGCCCTCCGTGGCGGGGGGCGGAGCCTGGGCCGGCGCGGTGCCAGGAGCCCGGCCCTCCCTCTGCAGGCTCTTCAGCAGTTCCAACAGCTCCCTCTTCTCCAGCTCGGCCTGCTCCAGCTCCTGCCGGTGGAGCCGCTCCGCGCCCAGCAGGGCGCGCACGTCTGACATCACCCGCGACAGCTGGCCCTGCGGAGACACGCCGCGCGCCCTCGTCGCTGAGTGGCCCCGGGGCCCCGTTTCACACTCGAACCAGGCTGCTGATAGACTTGTTAGCGCCAAACTTGTTAGCATTTTAAATGTAACAAACACCAGGCCTCAGACCTGCTCCCATAAGTACCTCCAGATGTCTCCTAATGGTCCATTGTGCATATAATATAATGAATTCATACTATTGAGGAAGTACGCTTAGAGTAACTATACCAGTCCTTACTCATCCATGAATGTTTTTATCCTGTTGTTTAACATGTGCCCTCAGTGGTTTTCATTACTTTTTACATACTGACCATTTTTATATAACAAAACTTTTACTGAGGCATTTCATGTAAAGCACTTGACCGCTACGCCACCTCCTGGCCCTCAGCAGGAAGTGAGGCCGGCCTGCCTACCTTCAGCTCCTCCACCTCGCTCTTCAGCAGGCTCTCCTTCTGCACCATGTGCCTCCTCTGGGAGTCCAGTCGGGACTCCATCTCATGCCTCACCTCCTCCATCTTGCAGATCATCTCCGACCTGCCAGGAACCCCGGCCCACAGAGCCTCGTCACGCACGTCCTGCATCCCCTACACCTAATGTCCCCTCAACAAGAGCTCAGCTAATAATTCTTTGACCAAACCTCTTTTCCGAGGAGACTCAAGATCGATTCCTCCTCTGCATTTCCATTTTGCCCACTGCCCTGCCTGAAGTGTTGCAGTTAACGCTTAACTGCGCTAATCAAGCCCCCCACAACAACACTGACATACAGTATTTACATATTTATGGTGAAAAATGCCCAGAGCAGTAAAGTCATACACCTCTTTCTGAAATTGAGTAAATAAAGCAATTAAAAACAGTGAATTCATTAATGAAGGAGAAGGAGATGCACGTGCCGTTAAGGTGGATTTGAGCGGGTGGGAAAAGGGGCGCCCTTAAAATTTTTCAATGACCAAGATGGGAGTGACTGGCTGCGACGGTGCTGCTGGGAAAGAAATCCTTGTGCAAAAACGTGGGACAGAAGCTTTACTCACATTCACACATAAACATGCACCACGAGAGAGGTAGACAGCCAAGCCAGGCATTTCACACAAATATATCACCTGAGACATCGGCCTTGGAAATATCCAAACACAAACACTGCCACTGATTGCAGGTCAGACAGCTCCTGCAGCGCCCCCTGGAGGCTGATGTGAGATCGCTCACCTCAGCAGCTCCAACTCGGTGCGCAGCTCCGCCACGCAGCTGTGCTGGGCGTCCTCGCAGCTGAGGATGGTGTAGCCACAGCCATGAGGACACTCCCTGCTGCGGAACTCGCAGGTGCTCAGGTGGGCCTGCAAAGAGCGGCGTTCCACCTGTAGGGGGCAGCCTGGGACACGAGGAGGCTGAGGTGACGCCGTGCACATATTCACACATAAACATGCACAAAGCTAAAGTCAGCAACAGCAATACTGTTACCCCTTCACAGAATATCCTTGTGAATGTGAAAATTCAGGAGTTTCTTAGCAAGCTCTAAAAATACTCCCATTTTAATTGTTCAAGCCAACTCACAAAATAACCCAAACTGCAAATGCAATCCCCCCCCCAAAATATCCTTCCAAAATATAGATGAGGAGGACCTTGGTGACAGGGCTGCATAGCCCCCTACACACTCACACCACACAGCAAACACACAGCAAGCATTCAGTGCCACGTCACCCCAGAGCTTGGAACATTCTGGCGCTCGTGACCTCGTGGCGATACGAAGCACATCAGTAACATGAGTGCCCTCCACATGGCAAGAAGTCGCACAGAAACAGAGGGGCAGGCAGTGTCAGTGTGCGTTAAAGGCATCACTGACATGCCATCGATCACAGGTCATGAAGCGCTAACACACTTAATGAACTAATTAATAAAAGGAGACCTGATTAACGTTCATGTAACGTATATCTACTTATCGATAATCCATTATGGTCAGGGTATGCTGATGCCCCCCCTCCCCATTAGCACTCATCGGCCAAATGCTTTTTGTGGAAGTACCCCCCCCCCCAAAAAAAATACAAATTTTGATCATCTCTTTATCTGGGGTTCTTGAAGAGAACATCAGCCTGTGGGGGGTTGCCAGACTGATGATCAGTAACGGCAGAATTAGGTGACCCGATGTCCTCTGAGCCCCTCATGCAGCACGGCATTGTGGGAAGAGTCAATTTCGTGCCATGCTTTTTCAGACCGTCAAAGGATCTCGTGGGCCCACTTCCCTCCAGTTCGAAATGCATCTTAATAGTGCTACTAATCAAAAGGGCAACCAGGCCCTGAAGCAGGGCTGGGCTATAGGACCCAGAACGAGGCGCGTGCCCATGTTGGGGGTGTACCTGTGTTTGTGCAGGCCACCAGGCTGTACTCGCACTCTCGCTCATGCCGCTCCACGGACTCAAGCGAGCACACCATCTCGCAGCCCTGCTCCCGATTCCGGCAGCGGATCTGCAGCCGGCTCAGGTCGTTCCGCATGTACCTGGGGGCAGGAGGCAGGGCAAGGGGGGGGTTTTGTCCTTCAACTACACTTCCCTGCACTTTCACAGCGAACAACCCTTTTAATGGGCCTGGTCTGGGTGTTTTTTAGTGTGAAAAGTTTTGATGGAAAATTCAAGCTGTTCATACTACTGTGTATTTTTCCATATTAAGGATGGAAAAAATGCTTCTGGAATATGTACCAAAACCCAGTTAACATATTGAGATTTGTTTTAGAATCCAGGTGGAAAATATAACCAATTTCACCTGCTGTTTCAAGGAATATGTGGCACCAAAAAATGAAGATGAAATTGTCACACACACTAAACAAAAAGATGTATATTTAACCATTTGACAGATCTGTTCAAGCCCACACTAGCGTTGCAAAAGCAAAAGCAATGCAGCCCTCCTCAGGTCACATGATCAGTAGCGTACCTAAAGAGCGGTCTGAGCAGGGCGCCCTCCAGTGGCTGGCGGTCCTCAGGACAGCTGTGGTGGTGAACCAGCCAACTGTTTATGCAGGAGCTGCAGAAAGCATGTTCACAAGGAGCCTGCAGCGGGTCCTCCAGCACATCCCGGCACACGCAGCACAGCAGGCCCTCGTTCACGTAGCCCACGAAGCGCTCGAGGTCATAGCCCATCCTCTTTCTTCGGTGTGCCTGCACACTCTGGCCATCAGGGGGCAGGATGGAGTCAACCACAAGAGTGCAAAACCCCAACTAGCCGTCACAAGTTTGCCATTCTTTAATAAGTTCACTTAATACAACTTTCTCTCCTCTTTCAAATGGGAACCTTTCGACGACGGAGCTCGTAAGGTGAAAACGCTTCCTTGATTGTGGAGGCATATGACCTCAGGCATTTTACATAAGTGTATTTGCATTAAAAAAGACACACTGCTCAGCTGCGGACCAGGGACAAGATTAACTTTGAATCATCAGCATTTGCTACAAATATTTCTCCACCTAGTTATGACAGAACTAATTATCAGACAAGACTCATGACAAACTGGCTCAAAAGACATACGTGAGATCAAACTCCGCCAAACCTTAGTGATGAGTGCGAGTCAGAAGAGCCACTTCGCCTTCAGCAGGCCGTTATGCGTCAGCTCTTTGTAGTCGGCTCAGCTTGGCCCCCTGGCTCTAGGCCTCTGCGGGGCTGTCGCTGGGGATGCAGGGACAATGAGCAGAGCCCCGTGTGGCTCTGGGTCTCCTGAGAGACAGCGGAACGAGGGCCCGCTCAGCCAGCTGTTGGACAAAGAATACAATGACTCAGTGTTCGCATGGGAACAGCTTAAAGGGACCACCTTTGCCCCCCCATTACGGACCCCCCCCCCCACAGATGGCTTATATATCAGCCACACCCACACCTGCTGACCTTTGACCTGCTGGACACTCTACACCCCCACCATGTGGTAGCATGTACGAGGGGATGATGTCACTCCATGCTATTGGACCGTTAAGGGTTAAGGCCGCCAAAATAACAGCTGTGCCCTCACTGCCAGCTATAAAAACATGAAGGCATTCTTTGAAAACCAATAAAAAAAAAGAGTTCTTTCAGTCACACAGACCACTTCTTTTAATAGTCTTGCTGAGGGCTGTAGATGGGAAGACAATGAAAACCACACCAAGCAAAGCGGGGCACTTTATTAAGCGGAGTTTTCCACAAGAGGCCAATCACAGGGATGTGAGCGGCAAGAGGACACCAAAAATTACACGCTTGCAGACAGGAACGCAGAAGGTACAAATGTTGCTGTTCTCTGACTAGCAAGAACACAGATTTCCTTAAAAAAGAAAAAAAGGAAAAGCTGTCCTCTGTTGCTTCCTATAAGGAACAACCTTTTGCTGTGAACACCTCTGTAAACAACTCCCTTCTTGGAACCAATTCTGATGCATTGAACCATATCCTAATTAAAGTGAAAAATACTAAAGCATATCCTTCATCCTGTAGTTGTTTTTGTTTCTGTTTTTTTTTTTAACTCATCACGGATACGAGTTGGCTGATCATCATAATTAGGTGCCATCAAGTCACTGTCACCTGGAGGCATTTCTCCGCCAAAATTCCCAAAGGCATGTTTGAGTCCATCCATCTCATGACTGGTCCTCATTCTCTTTTACCTTCATATTTTCCAAGCATTATGTTCTTCCATGATTATGGTCTTGACAACTTTAGCCTAGACATAAGTGCTTCAAGTGAAATTTGCAGTTACCATCCACTGACTAATCTAAATGCAAATATCTTTCAGAATCAAAGTTACAAAGCAAGTTCAGTTGGGCAGTAATAATGTAAACATCTCTTTTGGGAGCAGCGACTCGGACCACGTGACCGCGCACGCCTAACGACCTGCCGCCTGGCAGCACAGCGTAACAAACAGCGTGACAAACATTAATTTAAGACAAACCTGTGCTTTATTTAGATTGCATTCTTTACCATATTTGCTGCATAGTAACCCAGTTCAATCTGAAGAGCAAGTACGTTTTCAGGGAAGATAAAGCGATTTTTCAGTCGAGGGCAGGGGAAAGAATTACATCTCCCTGAGTCGGACGGCACTCCCCGCGAGCTGGGTGATCATCAAACAACAGGGACATGATGACGGATATACTGTATGTAACTGGCGCGTATGTGGCTGGAAAGATCAACGTAGTGTTTTCGAATGTCATACAAGGGCTATTCTAATATAGACGTGGAATGGTTCAGCTGCTGTTTCCCCGCATGAAGCTTGTTATACCTTCCCAGTCGGTGATTGGATTAAAGTCCAATGGGCAGCGCTTCAGCTGCCCTATCGGATGTGAGGAAATCAAACACCACGGCCAACACTGCAGCGAGTCTCAGAGTTTATGGAACTTTGCATAATGCGCTAATAGGACACATAAACGGGACTGAAGGCTAAGCGAAGGAAAACACTCTAATTTATAAGAGCTGGACACACTGACATGTGAAAATAAGATCTTACCATAGGAGGAAGACGACGCCTATAATGAAATGATGTAAAGTGTATAAAACTACTATAAACACATATTAAACCAGTAACATTTCAGATGAACAAATTAGCTTTTTAAAAGAAAATCAAAATAGAAAACTTGTCAATGCCAAAGAGCATGTAAAGGCATTGAAATAATTTGTATTCAGAAACGCAATACCCACTCAGATTGGAAATAGCCAGTTATTCCCAATTTAACGGCCCACAGTCACGCGTTTGACACAACCTGCGCATTTATGTTTTGCTGAAAAAAAGAAAGAGTATGTTACATTCACGATTTTCGGATCAGACTCACCGGTGTCTCTCGCCGTGGGTACGCACCCCACGCTGGTTTCACTGCTCCGGGATGCCGGGGCCACACTGATCTCGAATTACCCCCGCCATCGCAGGCAGCTCAGCATTACAACAGTTACACCATGCAATCCAAACTCCAGCGAACAAGTTACGCAATTACAGAAACGGAGGACTAGCGCGGTCTGACTCTGTTATGATTGAACGCAGGAAGCTCGTTTGCGTAGTGACGTCATGACGCAGCGGCCAATCACGAGACACGTCTCCGCGCTCGCGGGAGAATGGAGTTCCCTATAACAAGTTAAGTAACAGGAGGTAGGTTTGTTAGACAGCAGCGTGTTGTATAATAAAATAACAGTTTGGTTTTCTGACTGACGTATTTCTAATTAATGATTTGGTATATAGAGTAATACAAGTGTCTTCGTTTTGAATAAGCATCTCTCGAATTCCATGTCAAACAGTAAATTAGTTAGCAGGTTAGCTGCCGGTTGGAACAGCTAAGCGAGATTACCAAAAAATGAAATAATTCTTATCCATGGAAGTTCAGCTGTTTTTTTTGGCTAGTCTTTATAACAACACATTTACGTAGTTCATGCGTACAGATTGATATTGCAATCTGAACAGAAACACTTGATAGATGTGCTGTTAACTTCATAGCGCTTAATATACGATACCATTTATTTCGTTTGCTCAAACTCTGTATACATTAACTTGCTGGCCAGTGCTGCATGCACATTTCCTCTTGCCCCCCGTATTAGTAGTGGGTTGATATTTAATCACACTCATTGCACACAGGGAAAATGCGTCGTTCTGGAGCGCCGAGCCAGCTCTATGGAAGTGTAGCCAAGAAACCCCGATTCGTGCCACCTGGCCCCAGCCAGCACAACCAAGGCCTGGGACTCCAAACAATGTTACAACCCCCTCAGCTTGAACAGTGTAACGCACTCGATAAGGTGACTTAGCACGAATCTCCCTGCTTCGTCTTCTATAGATAATATATATATATATATAACGTGTCTTGACATTTTATTTTGTCTGTCAGTATGTATTTGCTCAATTTTCTCCTTTCTTGTAGGTAGAGAAGACTCTGTCTGATAATAAAGGTGAAGGTCCCATTTTGTCCAAAGCTCTGGCCAGGATCTTAAATGCTGTTCCCAAAGCAGACACAAAGGAGAGCCATGCAAGCGTACAGCAAGTGTCACAGATGCCTTCTGAGAATGTGAATGCCACAGTGGACAGGGCTGCTACTGGTGAGTTTGACTGGCGTTTTCATGTTTGGCTTTAGGGAGTGTTGATGGATGAGTCCCTCACATCAGGCAGGTGAAGCATATTGGTGTCTAGGTGTTTGTGTCTAGGCACTGACACAAGTGTGTGATGATGACACCAGGTGGTGTAGTGATTATGAATCTGCGCTTTAGTTCCAGGAAATATACCTGAATGGCTTCAGTGTATGATCAGTTGTTTAGATGACTATTTTAAATTGTATTAATCTAAGGCTGTTTTAATTTAATGCCTGCTAAGCAAATTGATGTAATTGTTTAATGATATTAATATACTTATACAGAATGCTAAACTCTTAAAGAAGGATAACATCTCCTGTTCTGCATTTGTCTGCTTGTGTAAGTCTGTTGTACTAATCTGTAATGGTACCCTGCTCATCACTTGTTGTGTATTTGTTACCTGATGCCATTTTGGTTGTTTCTTTGTACTTTTTCTGTCCATGAAAAGGAAGTCATTTTATTCTGCAAAGCCTGAAGAGATCTGGAGTGTGTTCCACGTTCAGTAATCTTAGGGCATTGGTTGCTGGTCAGTCTCCTGTGAACTAGCCAGCTGGAATTTTTTGTAGTTATTTTGGTAATTACAGTCCTTAGATAAATGGCTTGAAGCAAAATACTTGCAGCATCTTGTGGTTGATGTCACCTTATTTTCTCTAGCATGCTATTGTTGTCAGACTTGTCTGTGACAAATTGGCTTGATGGAAATCAGTTTAAAAAATATTGGGAACCGGTACCGGGCATGATGTTTTCCATAGTGTAGGTACCCTCCCCAGACGCAGACTCAAGTTGAACACATGTTGGAGTGACTCCCCCAGTTCCACAGCACAGGCCTTCGGCAACCTTGCACAGATGCCATCTGGCGCAGCAGCTTTCGGTTTCAGCCTCTTCAACTCTCTCCTTACCTGGTCTATGGTTATAGTAGGGTGGTGAGGGGACACTTGCAGAGCCTGGTAGCAGCGGCGGGGGGGAAGGGGGGAGTTTGCAGTGGAATGACACCGGTTGGCAAAGGAGGTGTGGGTTTGATGGCTGTGCCATCGGCAGACACTGCCCAGCAGTTCACAGGAATGTCACAGGTTGGCAACGGAGGTATGAATTTGATGGCTGAGACATCAGCAGACAATACACAGCAATCAGTGACCAGTGGAATGTCCCAGGTTGTTGATGGAGGCGTTGGGTTACTCGCTGTACACCCAGCAGACAATGGTGGGGGGTGTGTTGGGGTGGTCGCTGCAGCAGTTACAATGGCAAGGCCATTAGCAATAGTGGCAGAGTCATCAAAACGGTTATAGAAATGATTTAGCTGATTTGCTCTGGCCACATCACCCTCTGCCCTGGGGCTGTTTTTCCCGCATCCTGTAATCTGCTTCATCCCCTTCCATACCTCTTTCTTGTTGTTTTCTTCCAATTTCCTTTCAACTTTCCTCCTGTAAGACTCCTTTGCATCTTTCAGACGCTCTTTGAGCTCCTTCTGCACACACCATTGTTCAGTTAAGTCACCATCCTTAAACGCCCTCTTCTTCTTCTATTATTCTTATTATTTCACAAAGCCACGCTGGCTATCTTATTGGCTGATTCAGTTGTCAGTCAAGCTCTAATTCAAAACTTTCCAGCACTCCCAGTATGTTTTAATTGCTGCATGACTGGCACTTCAAATACTGGGTCCAGGCGTGACTGGAAGACTCATACCCTCTCTGTAACAGTTTTTGTCATTTAGGTATTACCTGGGTGCAACAAGTAGCCTTGAAATGATTTCAAGGGCTTTTCACTATAGGAGTGCTGCTCTTTAAATTACATTTGGAGATGGTAAGAATGAGAAAGTAATTAAAGTGATGTCGATATATGGATGGCTTATCCTTTACATGTGACGTCAGTTAAACGCTACCAGGCAAGCTAACGTGGTTATAAAAAAAAAAACGTATTTTGGAAAGCTGTAGGAAAATTGAATTAAACCGGAACGTCGAAACTGGAAATCCGTCGAATTTTAGATTGTTGATTATTAGTCCAACACTTTGTCCGCTTGGTCCCGTAATGGTGACAAGCATAAGCGCTTAAAAGATGGATGGATGGCCGGCCGAGCGGACGGCTTCGCCGACTCTCTGGCCGCGGTCTCCGGGAAGGCGCAGGAAAACGAGGGGCGAAGCGAGCGGCGAATTAACGGAGCCAGTGTACCGGATGAACTGCACTGTGAAACTCGAGCTTTGGGTGACACCTAGGCAGCGAGGCGGTGGGAGGGGGCTCCGCTCGGAGCTGCGGCGGGATCCGGCGGATTAGGGCTGCCGTGGCGATCCGGGCGCCCGCGCGCCGCCGCTCCCTCCCGGCTTTCAAATTAAAAGCAACTAGTGTCGCTCTGCAACGCCAGCCAGCGCGCCGAGCCACTTCTCAGCCGCAAATGCTCATTTCCTGCAAAAAAACACCAGTATTTTTCAAACATTTATTGAACGTTTGTATGCATTTTTCCTTTGTCCCGATAAAAGCGCTTTAGCGCAGCCGTGGGCTACATACACATCCCCAACGCTTTCATTTATGTCCTCTGATTTAAGGTTTGCGTTTTATTGAGAATAAAAAGTAAAATACCCCCGACTTTTTCCCTGCAAGCGTCTAAATTCTAGCGTTTTGCTGTCGCGTAGCTTCAAAATGTTGCCCGCTCGGTTTACAGCGTAGCGGAGACTAGGCTTCTATGTAGGTCAGGCTGGGTCTAAGCAGCTTTCCCGAATCTGCGTCAGCTTAAGCTGAAAGGAATTTCAATAAAGCCCTCCCTGGTAGGCGTGGGCCTAAATGAGGCTGGCCTAGTTAAGCCTGATTCCTTTTTGTGTGCGCGTTGTGTGACGGAAGGGGAAGCAGGGTCTGCTGTGCGTGCGCGCGCGAGGCTGTATGTGTTTGGGAAAAAGGAGAAGAAGGGGGTGAGGAGGAATTTTCGAGGTATAATTAAGAAGGAAATAGAAATCAAGGGAGGAGGAGGGGGAATAAAAGAACAAAACAGAAAGGCCAGCACAGCATGAGCAAGAATGGCTGCTGTGTTCATGGCAACCAGCATGGTGGGGAAATCCCGGTCCTCCAACTTCACACTCTCTGAGAAGCTGGACCTGCTGAGGCTGGTCAAGCCGCACATCCGCATCCTGGAGGAGCACACCAACAAGCACGCGGTAATCGTGGACAAGAACAAGTGCTGGGACAACATCGCGGAGCAGTACAACGCGCTGGGGGGGGACCGCCCCCCACGCACGGCGCAGGGCCTCCGCACGCTCTACAAGAGGCTGAAGGAGAATGCCAAGCAGGAGATGGTGCAGAGGAAGCACGCCCAGCCCGAGTACCGGGGCAACATCTCCGAACCCACCAAGAGAGTCATCGAGATGATCCCACACCTGTTCCATCCGCTGCATGAGAAGGACCTCCACGCCCTGCACAGGTGAGACTGCCCACCTGACTCTGCCTGCGTCTGCACCTCCAGTTATGGACATCACCTCACTGACCTCCACAGCTCGTCATCTTAGATGTTTTCAGCGTTGCCTGAGGGGGGAGGGGGGGGGAGCCAGCCTTATGTTCTTTGTGGTGTCCTGCGCCAAAGCTTGTGACAGCTGCCTTACCAGTAAAGAATAGCCTTGGCTGCTTGGCGAAGCTCTTCGATGTGCTGCCTGCAGCGCCGCCGCAAGCCCCCCTCCCCCGTTCTTGGCTGGTGTAATGCCAGATTAAAGACACAAGCGCCGTATTGTGGCCATCCAGCAGTTGGTGTGTGGAATGGGGGAGATAGCAGCTGGGGTCAGGGCTTTTGTTGCAGCGGGGAATGGGGTAGGTGGGGCGTGTTTGGATCTAGAGACATCAAGGCGAATGGCTGCTTTCAGATCAGATTTTTGCCTTGTCAGGGCAGTTGGTAGTTAATGCATTAGTCCTTGGTTTAGTTGTTCAGTTGAAATTAAGGCACTGAAGCAGAAGACTGACAGCAGCCTTGCACTGAAGGCTGCAGGTTTTTTTGTGTGTGTTTTTTCCCCTATTTCATAGTTAGGAAATGTTTGTCCGGTGGTTGGAATAAGCATCCTTAAGGAGCGAATGCTGGTTAGAATTTTCAGCTTCCCTTCCACTTCCAAAGAGGCTGTGACTGAAGCACCTTCATACTTTAACACTGAAGCAGTATTGCAAGGGCTGCGATCCCCAATTAAGTTTTTCTGCGAACGGGGACTGGCCACAGCAAGCTGGAGGGTTTGCCTGTCCGCACTGTCTGACTTCTGGGAGATCAAGGTGATTCGCACCTCGTCAGAAGGAAATTTTACGCACCTCTGTGGTTCTTATGTTTTAATTACACCAGATTTCTTCTTTCTGTTTATTTTACTCGTTTTGTGCATTTCTTCAAACAAAATGTATTTGAAATATATATAGTTTAGACCCATCATACAAACCATATAATGAAATAGTAAATGTATCCTGCATGTATTTTTCATATATACATATTGATTTTTGTCTTATACCTTTTATGGAATAGGAAAGGGCTTTTATGGATTTAGTGAAAGAAAAAAAATATGCGCTTACTCTTTCGTTACGTGGGTTTCTTATGCAAAGTGAGTTAGTGTGCTATCTATGTCTGTGATTTGATTTTAAAGCAGTTCAATTCAGCTCCTCCTCAGGAATGACAGGTTGCCTCCCAGGTCTTAAACTAGGACCATGCAGGGTCTGGTTCCCTGCTGCAAAGTACCCCAGCATTAAATTCAGTGGGTGTCAGATAAATCTGTTCCCCTTTATTCGTGACTAGTTGACTCTGCAGCGTGTGCCGTAAATGCACCTGTCCCTGTATAGAAATGCGTTCGGGACGTGCTGCGCGGGGGACCCGAGATCTGACATCTGTTGCAGTTTGAGCAAGACCCACAGTTTCGTGCATGCAGTCGTGGCCTTAACTGTTTTCTGGTGGTTTCTATTCTTAATTAGGCAAGGCGAACTTAGTGGCTAGTCTGCCAGTCTAAAAGCGGGTTGATGTGGTGTGTGTGCGGGCGTGCGTGCGAGCAAACGCCTTCTGTAAATGTGAACTACTCTCTCAGAAAAAGTCACTTTCATTTCTAAAGTTTTTCTGTGATATAATACAACTTTTTCATTCCCAAACAATCAGTAACATCTGGCCAAACTTGCTAATAGTCCGAGGCTAAGTGTGATGAGTTATGATGCAGGAAATCTGCCTTCTGTGCGTTTCTGCCAGGGTGGGGCCTATTCTCATCATTAATACTTAAGGAGACATTATCGGTGCTTTATCCGTGGGTTTTCTCCCAACACTGATAAATTTCTCAGGGGTTTCTTCAGTCCCTAGTATCTGTCCATATAATGTTATATTCTATAAGTAATCTCAGATGCTCAGACATACTTTGTGATTAACCATTATTCATATTTCATGCTTTCGATTAACAAAAGCAGCTTGATTAGCAATAGGTGACCTAATCACAACGTGGGTGCAGTCGATTTGCTCCATTTTACATTAGGGGAGTGGGACAGTGTTGCTTATTTCGGTTTTACGTTTTCCTGTTCACCCTCAGGGTAGGGAAAGGTGACGTAAACGCCATGTGCTTGTTATGGCATCTATCCGCAGTCTGTCTGCCAGGTCCCTCTGCTAGGCATGTGCTGCCAGAAAGCCAACCGTAGTCATAACCTGTGTCTGTGCAGGTGTAGCCCAGGTTCGAGCAGTTAGTGTCTCAAGCTTTGCCCACATCAGCGCATATTTTTAGAAGAACGGCTTTTGAAAGCCTAAATCGGCCTATAAGCCAGTCAACATCATGGGCAAAATAAGAAACTTTATTGATCCCAGGGACAAATTCTTGTACTTATAGAAGCAGCAAAGTATGTAGGGCAGACAGACATCAGGCAAAACAGGAAAAGTGCAAAGACAGTATAACTGGTGAAAGAGTAAAAAATAATCTTTGTGGTCCCTAAAACTTTTCATCCTTTTATTTCTTGATCACCAGTAAGAGTGCCTTTATACCATATCGCATTCACATGACTGTAGGTACTTTGTCTGTGGTCCATGCATGTGAATGTTTGTTTGTTTCTGCCATTCAAAAGTCCCCTGCATTCCCTCCATAGCTGCTGTAACGACTTGTCAGAGTGCCAACCCTTCCATTCTGATCTTTCCTCTGTCTGCACCCAGGATGCCCTACAAGCACGACTCGCCAGTTGAGCATCCAGGAAGCAGTTCCTCCGTGCCAACGCTGTCCGACTACCAGCCCGTCGCCGCCATCGTGCCTGTGCGGCTGGAACAGGAGGTGGACGTCAAACCCCCGCCAGACCTGACCATCCTGTCCACGCGCGTGGAGAGCGTCGAGGAGGACGTGGCCTCTGAGCACGGTTTTGACGGGTCTATCTCACCCTGCCCGTCCTCCATGAACCTGGCCATGTCGCCGTCCCCCGTGGCGGTGCGGCGGGACCTGTATGCCCGGCCGGAGGGTCTGCGGCAGCTACCGGGCCTGGAGCCCGAGAGTCTGCAGCTGTCCCGAGAGGAGCATGAGCTACTGATGGACAACCAGCGCAAGCTGGGCCTCTACATCGAGGAGAAGCGCGAGGGCCTGAAGCGGAAGCAACAGCTGGAGGAGGAGCTTCTGCGAGCTCGGATTAAGGTGGAGAAGCTGAAGGCCGCCAGGCTGCGCCACGGACTCCCCATCCCCCACATATGAGTCCCTGGGGGGGCGGAGCCTATGGACATCACTGTTTGTTTATTGAACCCAATTGGGATTTGCTGGCCTACTTGTGTCCGCAACCTTTTGGCCGTTTGAAGCAACAGAAGTGGGAAGCCCCTGTTTGGGAAAACAAACGACGGCAAACGAACGTGACGGTCGGACATCTCATTGCGAGGAGTGTCGTTTTACACATACAGTGTTTTTAAATCACAGTCATGGCCAAAAGTTTTGAGAATGACACGTGTATTGGTTTTCACAAAGTTTGCTGCTTCAGTGTTTGTAGATCTTTTTGTCAGATGTTTCTATGCGATACTGAAGCTTAATTACGAGCATTTCATAAGTGTCAAAGGCTTTTATTAACTCTTAAGTTTATGCAAAGATCAATATTTGCAGTGTTGGCCCTTCTATTTTAAGACCTGCAATTTGCCCTGACATGCTGCCAATCAACTGACTGCTGGCAGCCCATTCTTGCATAATCAATGCTTGGAGTTTGTCAGAATTTGTGGGTTTTTGTTTGTCCACCCACCTCTTGAGGACTGACCACAAGTCCTCAATGGGATTAAGGTCTGGGGAGATTCCTGGCCATGGACCCAAAATGTCGATGTTTTGTTCCCCGAGTCACTTCGTCATCACTTTTGCCTTGAGGCACGGTGCTCCATCATGCTGGAAAAGGGATTGTTTGTCACCAAACTGTTCTTGGATGGTTGGGAGAAGTTGCTCTCGGAGGATGTTTTGGTACCATTCTTTATTCATGGCTGTGTTCTTAGGCAAAATTGTGAGTGAACCCACTCCCTTGGCTGAAAAGCAACCCCACACATGAATGGTCTCAGGATGCTTTACTGTTGGCATGACACTGGACTGATGGTAGCGCTCACCTTTTCTTCTCCGGACAATCTTTTTTTCTGGATGCCTCAAACAATCGGAAAGGGAATTCATCAGCTGTCCAATCTCTATATCTTTTGCACAATATCAGTCTGTCCCTGATGCTTTTGTTGGTGAGAAGTGGCTTCTTTGCTGCCCTTCTTGACACCAGGCCATCCTCCAAAAGTCTTCGCCTCACTCTGTGTGCAGATGCACTCACACCTGCCTGCTGCCATTCCTGAGCAAGTTCTGTACTGGTGGTCCCCCGATCCCGTAGCTGAATCAACTTTAGGAGACAGTCCTGGCACTTGCTGGACTTTCTTGGGCACCCTGAAGCCACCTTCACAACAATTGAACCTCTTGAAGTTCTTGATGATCCAATAAATGGTGGATTTAGGTGCAATCTTACTCGCAGCAATATCCTTGCCTGTGAAGCCCTTTTTGTGCAAAGCAATGATGTCTGCACATGATTCCTTGCAGGTAACCATGGTTAACAGAGGAAGAACAACGATTTCAAGCACCACCCTCCTTTTAAAGCATCCCGTCTGCTATTCTGCAGCATGACAGTGTGATCTCCAGCCTCGTCCTCGTCAACACTCACCTGTTAACGAGAGAATCACAGAAATGATGTCAGCAGGTCCTTTTGTGGCCGGGCTGAAATGCAGTGGAAATGGGTTTTTTGGGATTAAGTTAATTTTCATGGCAAAGAGGGACTTTGCAATTAATTGCAATTCATCTGATCACTCTTCATAACATTCTGGAGTTTATGCAAATTGCCATCATAAAAACTGAGGCAGCAGACTTCGTGAAAATTAATATTTGTGTCATTCTCAAAACTTTTGGCCACGGCTGTACTGTCTTCAGATGAGCAAAGACTGCAGAATAGAGTGCGCTAATCTCAACTCGGTTCTTTAAATGACGGATTTTGTTACTACTGAATATAAAATAAAATGTTTTTAGAAAGCTGGTGTTAATTTTGCAGTTTTTTAAGTGTTTGACTTGCCTGAGTTTTTCAGCACTCAGTATTTCACCATTGAAGTCTCAGATTTTAGTGTTCCTTGCATTATCTATCAGACTAATACAGATACACTAGGCACCTATGAAATAAACTTTTTTCCTTCATGGCATTAGGCACCCTGTTAATGGCTAATTTGTGTGAACTTCCATGGTGGCTCAGCAGGTGGCACTGTTGCCTCGCACTTCCACGGTTGGGGTCTGGCTTTCCTCTCCAGACGATTCGCAAGTAAATCGTTTTTCTGTGTAGATTTCTTATGCATGTTCTTCTTTCCTCCCAAACGTAGCATTCTGTCAGGTGACCCGGTGTCACTAATCTGTCCACAGTCTGTGACGGTGTGTTGTACGTGTAAGTGCCCTGTGATGGACTGGCATCTCCTGTCTTGTGTTCCGCTCTTCCTGGATTAGGCTTCTGGCTCATCATGACCGTGGATAAGCATTTGTAGAACCTAAATCTTTGTTTCAGATTATTGTTCAGTCTAATGTGGGTTCTTGTGGCAGCCCGTGTCCATCCGACTGCACGTCATGTGAAACCATGAATATTCAGCCTTTGGGTTACATTTGGTCTTGGGTTCGCTGGTCGCTGGTCGCACAGATTTGTGCCGTCAGTCTTAGGCAAGTAGAAAAAGCGAAGCTAACAAAAATAAACCATTTAAAGGCCTCAGTTTGCATGGCAGCAGATTCTCATTGATCCGGAAGTTTTAAATCCACAAGTGAGATTTGTGACGATGACAGACTGTTTGAGTAAGTACTGGCATAGTTCTTGTTAGAGAGACTTAAGGGAAATAATGCATGTGATATGTGAGTAGTAACTGCTATGTGAGTAGTAACCTTGCTGACTCCAAGCCCTCTGCTGGCCAAAGATGGAACAGTACCCTTGTGATTGCAGAAGACTGGAGGGATCAGTAGGATAGTTTTATATTTAACAGGTTTTTTTTTTTTATAAACCCAGGTGAGACTAATGTTCCTTGCAGAACCCCAGCGCATTGAAATAAAAGCGATAATTCAAAGATTCCACAAAAAATTTGAGATTATTTTGTATGCTTACTTAAAGGACGTCAGTATTTATATCATATGTCTGCTAGAAACAAAAGTGCTGATTAATCAATTCAGGGAAATTTGCTTTGCAGTAGATATTCCGTAGAATAAATCTTGTTTAATGACTGGTTTCTTTGTCCTTTACAGGAATATTTTTTACCTTCTTGTTTGAACTGGGGTTTGGGTGAATGACAGTGATGTTTATTTGGTTTGGTTGGGGGGCGTGTATTTCCAGACTCAACACCCCCAGCTCTCCAGAGTCGTGGGCCGGATGAAAGGTTCCGCGACGCCCGGTACTTCAGCGTGATGTGGTGCAAGGCTTCCAAGAAGAAACATAAACGCTGGGAAGGTGATGCGGTTCTGGTGGCCCGTGGCAGAACCGTGCTGCTGAAGGACATGGAGGGCAAGGACATCGGCAGAGGTGAAGGCGACGGCCGGCCGCTCCTTCCCGTGACGACCGCCTACGGCGAGACTCACGCCCGCCTCTCTTCCCCCCCGACAGGATCTGGCTACAAGTGCTCCGAGCTGGAGACCCTGGTGGAGGGCCAGTCGCTCATGGTGGGCGGTAAGGAGGTGGAGGTGATGGCCGGCATCTCCCCGGAGGAGTTCCACAGCGGCCGCTGCTTCCAAGAGACCCGGGCGGAGGTCTGTGAGCCGGCAGCGCCCGCCCCGCCGACCCAGAAGCCCCTCTCCAGGCCCTTCACCAGACCTGGGTCGAGGGGCGTGGCCTCGGGTGCGGAGGGGCCCGTTTGTCACCCACGGCACGACCCTCTGGCTCCAGGTATCTAGGCAACGGGGGCATCCAGGTGGGACAGGGGGTAGGAAAGTGCTTTTGGTGTGTGATTTTCACAGGTAGCCACACAGCTAATTGCGGTAAGTTTGTGTTTATGAAACCCCCCCCAGGGCAGGAGCTACGCCTGTTTGCCGATTAACTCTGACGTGTTGGTGTGGCTGCCAGCTGCATGCTACCTACCATCCCCACATGTCAGCATTACCAAAAAAGCGTTTCACATCCTGCTCACCCTGTGTGTGGCTCTGGGGTATAATTGTTTCATCAGAAATATTGAATTGATTAGTGCCCAGTTCTCTGCTTGGCCTGTAGGGTTACTGGTATTCGTTGTTTAAAGCACAGTAGTTGTAGATCTTCCCCCAGTCCAGATGATTAGTCTGCCCACCTGCGACCCTGCTTGCAGGAGCCCTGGTCATGCCGCGGCCGACGGAGAACCACCAGTGGGTCTTCAACAAAGCCGGGCTGCCCGTGGTGGACGTGGTGGTGGACCCCCACCTCGCCGGCCGTCTCAGGCCCCACCAGAGGGAGGGCGTGATCTTCCTGTACGAGTGCGTCATGGGGATGAGGTAGCCAATCGCATTAAGTAAAACCTGCACATGTTGAACATATAAAATTATATATGTGTAAATGATAAGGACGAATATTTAATGTTTTAAATGGCTATTTTCCCAAAAATCTAGTTTGATATGCTTATTTAATTTGGTTGCTGGCACATCCAGTGTGATCTAATTTTAATCATTAATAACCTGGTGTGGGCTGTAGACTGCGACTGGTCGTAAGCGGTTAATTGCTTGTTAGACTTGTAGTACTCGTTGTGTTTTTACGTACATATATTAATCACAGAAACCCCAGTGCATGTGTAGTACTTTCCAGTGTCCCCGGTCACAGCCAGCTGTATGTTCAGGCAGCAGTGGCGCCCCCTGTGGCCGAAGCCCGACACTCGCCACACAGTGCTGAGATGTTCTGTGTCGCTATGGTTGAGGTTCCGCTCCTGACTGCAGGGCGTCTTGCCAGCATGGCGCCATCCTGGCAGACGAGATGGGCTTGGGCAAGACGCTGCAGTGCATTGCACTGGTGTGGACGCTGCTACGCCAGGGGCCCTACGGGGGGCGCCCCGTAACCTGCCGTGCCCTGGTCGTCACACCCGGAAGCCTGGTGAAGAACTGGGCAGCCGAGTTCAATAAGTGGCTGGGGAAGGAGAGGATCACGGTGTTCACTGTGGATCAGGTGATCGTCTGGCGGGATGAGAGGGTGGCCTTTCATGTTTCCGCTATAAGTAAGCGGTGGAATGCGCTAGAAATTACAGAAACACTTGCTTTGCTGTTAGAGGTCTTATGATATTATTGACAATGATTCTTGGCTTTTATGCTCCCTTGACTTTTCTGGTAAAGCTGCTGAATCTTGAAGTTCTTCAGGGTCCTATAATATGGAATGCCCCCCCCCCACCAGGGTCACAGAGTGGAGGACTTTGCGGCGTCCCCGCGGTCTGCAGTGCTGGTCATCAGCTACGAGATGCTGCTGCGCTCGGTGAAGCAGGTGGCGCAGCTGGACTTCGGCATCGTCATCTGTGACGAGGGCCACCGGCTGAAGAACAGCGGCATCAAGACATCGGCGGCACTCAGCGGCCTGAGCTGCGTCCGCAGAGTCATCCTCACGGGTCAGTGGGTGTCGGAGGGGCGTGTCTGTTGGCGTGTCTTCAGCATGAGCGAGCCAATGAGCAACAAAGATTGATAAATTCCGGATGTCTTATAACGATCCAGGCACTCCGGTACAGAACGACCTGCAGGAGTTCTATGCGATCATCGAGTTTGTGAACCCCGGCATCCTGGGCTCGTCCTCAGCCTACCGGAAGGTGTACGAGGAGCCTATCATCAGGTCCCGCCAGCCCTGTGCCTCCGAGGTGATTCCTCCTCCCTTACAGGCACCTAGCCTTTCCTTCTCTGTGAACAGGTATCTGAATGGTAGACTGTGCTGGGAATTTGCAGCCATGTGATTGGCCCGGCTTGGGGGTCTGTCATGCAGGAGGAGCGGTGCCTGGGTGTGGAGCGAGCCGCCGAACTGGGCCGCCTCACAGGCCTCTTCATCCTGCGGAGAACCCAGGAGATTATCAACCGTTACCTGCCTCCCAAACTGGAGTGGACCGTCTTCTGCAAGCCGGCGGCCCTGCAGTTGGAGGTGTACCGCAAGCTCTTGGCGCACCGTATGGTACGCTCCTGCCTCCAGGGGGCGCTGGAGAACAGCCCGCACCTTGTCTGCATCGGGGCGTTGAAGAAGCTGTGTAACCACCCGGGGTTGCTCTACGCCAGCATCCAGGTGAGCCCAGTCATAACTAAAGGAACCGAGGAACCCAAGGCCAGTTAATGGAACTGTAAACCTACGTCTGGTCCAGGGTTCTTCAAATCTGGCCCTCAATTCCAAATCCAAGCCGTGTTTTCATTCCTCCTGGGTCGTTAGTTTAATAGTTACTGATACTGATTGGGCCACAGGGGCTTGACACCTGGCTCACAGGTACAGGAAGGCTGGAAAATCAGCAGGGCTCGGCCCTTGTGGACCGTGACTTCAATAGCAGTGAACTATGCCTTTACTTTCAACTGTCTTCTCTTTCGGCTCAGCTGGCCCACTTTAAGTCTTTATTCACCAGCTGAGCTTTAGTGCACTGCGCCATCAAGTGTGGCTGCCTGCTGAGGACCAGTCCATCCAGCCCTGTGGTACAGTGACCCTACACATTGGCAGATTATCTTATTGTAGTAAGAAAACAAATGCAGTAGAACCTCGGATTGCGAGCATAATTAGTTCCGGAAACGTGCTTGTAATCCAAAGCACTCGTATATCAAAGCAAATTTTCCCATTAGAAATAATGGGAACTCAGATGATTCGTTCCACAACCCAAAAATATTCATACAAAAATGATTAATACAAAATATAAAGTAAAAATACATACAATTTAACAAATTAACCTGCACTTTACATTTTAAAAGAATCGTGGATGGTGTGAGGGAGACGAGAGAGAGGAGAAGAGGAGTGTTATTTTGTAGGATGACTTTCACTATAATTAACGGAATCACTGCTATCTGTTGGCTCACTGGAATCTTTTTCTTTTTGTGCGACTTTAACAAGGAACCTATCCAGTGACAGCCGCTTCTGCCTCCTTTTCGATTTCGCGAAACAGATTCATGGCTCACACTACTACGCCCTTATTCGGGTGGTGCTTTTCTACTAAATTTTGACTATACGAGTGAGGCACGCCGACTGAGACCGAGCATGAGAGACGATTACCCACAATCCCGCACAGAGAGAGAGAGTGAAGAACCATCGGCTCAGTTGTGGTTACTTGACGCTCGGCAGACGAAGCGTATACATAATACTCGTATTGCAAGACCTCGCTCGTTTATGAAGTTAAAATTTATTTATAAATTTTTGCTCGTCTTGCAAAACACTCGCAAACCAAGTTACTCGCAATTCGAGATTTGGATTGTAGGCTTTTACGATGGTGTGTAACCATGTCAACTTGGCCTTTATATGCCCAGATATTATTTACAAAAATCTTAGTGTAATCATAGCTGATGTGTCCTTCTGTAGGAGTCCTGTGTGCAGACAGCATGCTTTCCATCTGCCATATGCGTTCAGCAGCCCTTCCCGACAGCGGACACGTGAGCGTGCGTGTTGGCAGCTGTCGAAAGCTCACAGCAGTTTGTTTTTAACACGCTTTCTGTGCCTTTGCCAGCAAACCACAGCTGCGGTCCATACTGATAAATAAACAGCCGTATGTGTATAAACCCAAAAGCATAACGGTGTGAGCAGGGCTGCAGATGTTTTAGGTGCCGCTGTTTATGGGAGGATTGTGCCAGTTTGCGGTTACGGGAACAGCATCATGCTGATCATAGCCCGACCCAAACAGATACGTTATAAAATAATATCTGTGTGGAACAAAGGGTGTTGAAATGGGCAGCTGCCTGAAGAGGGAGCTGTGTTTCAGTGTCTGACTGATCCATCAGTCGGCAAACAAAGGTATTACATCAAGTCACATGGTTATCGTCAAGGCTGCTATGTAAAATGTCCCCAAGAGGAAGGGTAACGATGAACAGTAGCCGTTGGGAAAGTAAAACATTTTTTTGTTTATCAGTTGGATCAGGGGCAGGCAGTCTTATCCAGAAAGGGCCGCTGTATATGCAGGTTTTTGCTGTAACTCCCTAATTAGAGGACTGATTGGCTGAAGAGTCCTCACACCTGGGTTTGAACAGCTGACCTAAAGGTTACCCTTAAAACCTGCACCCACACCAGCCCTTTGCAGATTAGACGGGCCACCCCTGAATTAGCATGTTCACCAAGTATTTGGTGGTCAGGAGCCACAGCAAAGCCCACCACAATCGCCCTCCCTCCCTCTCTCTGCCCATCTTCCGTGTCCCACAGGAGAAGGGTCACCCCTGTGCTGAGGACTCCAGCCCAGCAGAGACGTCCCTCTACCAGGGTCTGGGTGACCTCTTTCCGCACGCCTATACCTCAGGGGACTTCAACACCGCCGACTCGGGCAAACTCCTGGTGCTGGTGAGCCTGCTGGCAGCCGTGCAGCTCCTCAGCCCCTCTGACAGGTAGCCGCAGCTTCCACATGCACCAGCCCCGCCTCTCCTCACGGGGGGCGCTGCGTCAGAGACCCCCACGGCAGCTACGCCATGTCTACATTAACTCATTTATCAGATGTTTTTATCCAAAGTGTCTTACAGCGCAGGGGAGGATGTACCTCTGTACCTCTGCAGTGTGATCTTGGCTACTTTGCATCATCATTTATCACCAAATAGTAAAGATGCACCATGAGCCTTGCAGTCAGCGTCGTGCCTTTAACCCCGTTTTTCACTTTATTAGAAAGCAGCCCCAAACCCTCAGCTTGAAGGAAACGCTCACGAGCAGCTCTGTGAGGCACAATGTGAGCTGCGGCTGATGGACATAGCTCTCAGAAAAAACATTCCTCAATCAGTTTATGTAACTCCTGCAGTTCATTCTGTTATTAGAGGGACAGCTCAGGTTGGAAGGTCTGGAGGCAAAGCCGCAGGGGCGAGATTGCATTGGTCTGGACATGTGCAGAGGAGAGATGCTGGATATGTTGGGAGAAGGATGCTGAGGATAGAGCTGCCAGTCAAGAGGAAAAGAGGAAGGCTTCTGGGGAGGTTTATGGATGTGGTGAGAGGGGATGTGCAGGCGGCTGGTGTGAGAGGAAGGCTTCTGGGGAGGTTTATGGATGTGGTGAGAGAGGATGTGCAGGCGGCTGGTGTGAGAGGAAGGCTTATGGGGAGGTTTATGGATGTGGTGAGAGAGGATGTGCAGGCGGCTGGTGTGAGAGGAAGGCTTATGGGGAGGTTTATGGATGTGGTGAGAGGGGATGTACAGGCGGTTGGTATGAAAGAGGAAGATGCAGAGGACAGGAAGAAATGGAAACAGATGATCCGCTGTGGTGACCCCTAATGGGAACAGCTTTTTTAATCTTATTGTCTGCACTTTATATTTATATTTATATTACCTTATCTGCACTTTTTTTAATCTTTCTCTTTCTGCACAGTCTTTGGATCGGTCAGGGTTCATTTCACTGCATGTTGTACCTGTTATAACTATGTATGTGACAAATAAAGAATCTTGAAATCTTGAAATCTTGAGCTAAAAGGAGCAGTTCCTTCTGTTATCCACATCACAATGATTTATGTATTTGACGCTCGTCTTTACTTTCTCCACACTAAACCGGATGCTCTGGTCTCGAGTCTGAACCACGCTTTGCTGCTCCTCCCACATGTTGTTGTCTGCAGGGTGGTGCTGGTGTCCAACTACACCCAGACGCTGAACCTTCTGCAGGACCTGTGCACCCATTTGGGCTACAGCAGCTGCAGGCTAGACGGACAGACGCCCGTCTCCCAGCGGCAGAAGCTGGTCGACCGTTTCAATGGCCAGTACTCCACAGACTTCATCTTCCTGCTCAGCTCTAAGGCCGGGGGTGTGGGCCTCAACCTGGTGGGGGCCTCTCACCTCATCCTGTATGACATTGACTGGAATCCAGCCAATGATATTCAGGTAGGTGGGTCATATGGCTCTTTTAAATGGATAAATGTGTAGAAATTAGTCTGCATCAACTTGTTCTGTTTTGAACGCCTTGATCAGTGTAGTGTTTGTAAACACTGTTGTGTTTCAAATAGCATGGTAAATTACGGTCTACTATTGCCATTATGTTAAACTCTGAAGCAGTTTGTCTAAGCCCACCAACAGGGGGCGGTGTTCCTTAGCCAGAGTCACACAGACCATCTTGCTGCCGGACATCTTTGTTTAAAAATGCCCCCGAAGTGTGTGATATCTCTTCTGCCCATCAGGGGGCACTGCGAGCAGGTCTTTCTGATCACGGCGTCTGGTTACAGTTTTTTGGCTGTCCAGGACACAGTGATGAATCGCAGTGTCAGGCACTCTCCTGCAGTGCTGCCTCCGGTGTAATTATTTACACAAGCCTCTGACTCACCATTGAGCTCCCATGTGACCTCATGCCCTGTCGGAGGGCCTGGTCGGACCATGGCCCTCCCCCCACTGGTCTGTCAGGCATGTGGCATCCGTGTCACACGCTGAGGTCACAGGGAGTGGTGTATGACTGGATCTCTGAGTAAAGCTCTTGGGCGAAAATCTAATGAGGTTCTGGTCTGTGACTATGGATAAGGCTGAGAGGAGAGTCTCATGACTCTCCTCTTATTTTGCTTAGAATCATCAGGTGAGGAAAATCATGAGTATCGTTGTGCTGTGTGTGACCTTGCTGGCGGTTACCGGACAGTGACTCGTCATACAGTGGGGTAACCCTCCTCTTGTTCCCCCCCCCCCAGGCAATGGCACGGGTTTGGCGGGATGGGCAGAGGAAGACCGTCCACATTTATCGCCTCCTCACCACAGGTCAGAGCCCTAGTGCTTAGAGACACGCCCCCCCCCCAGTGCTGAGGAGTCAGTAACCGAAAATCCATTTACCGCAAAGCCATTTAACACAACAAAATTCACCAAAAAAATCTGTTACAACAGTGGTACTGTTTGTCAGTATGTTTAAGGAATAAATGACTTCTGAATTTCATTCACAGTGCATGGTGATGAGTCAGTACTGTATTACTCTTCCACATGACAGGGGCTGCTGGGAGCGATGTACCTCCCCCGCCCTCTAGGGGGCGTGTGTGAGGTAGTTCTCAGGGCATCGTCTCCCTTTGTTTTTAATGTCTGTGTAATTCTTGCTGGGAATTGATGTCCGAATGAGCTGGGCGAGGGGTTGGGTCACCGCACTGCGAAAGCCAGCGGGCAGATTGGAAGCTGTAAAAAATCCCACGGCACTGAGGTTTGGCGAACGTGACCGGCTGTCCTGTTTCGGCCATTTGAGAAGGGAACCAGTGGCAGAACCGCAACATCAAACCCCCCACGTGCAGTGCATGTGCCTAAATTATGGCGTGGGGTGCGATCCCTAATACAAAAAAAAAAACACCTTTTTTTATTTTTTATTTTTAAAGGAGTATGGTCACATGGCTTCACTGGAGTTCATGCGTCCTTTTGCACCCTGTGATTCTAACATGCCAGAAACGCTCAAAGTACCGAGTTGGTGTCTGAGCGACGTCTTACTGCCCTGTGCCCGGCTGGCATCTCTCCTTCGAGTCTCGTATTCTAATCTCAGGCAGCCGCAGGGGTTTGGCGGTTTGATCCTGACTGACTTTTCTTGCCCGTCTGTCGCCCAGGGACTATAGAGGAGAAGATTTACCAGAGGCAGGTGAGCAAGCAGGGCCTGTCAGGCACCGTGGTGGACGCCTGCAAGCGCACCGAGCACAGCAGCTTCTCCGTGGAGGAGCTACGTGACCTGTTCACGCTTCAGGAAGACTCGCACTGCGTGACGCACGACCTGCTGGGATGCGGCTGCTCTGGGGACGGCAGGGTGCCGGGTAACGATTCCACGCTTCTCACTTTTCCATATCCAGGTAGTTGAGGACATGGATTCTTAACCCAAAAGATGTCACTTAGTCCCAGGAGGAGTTCGCTGTTGTACCCTAGCATGAAATAGGGCTGATTGCCACAGTGATATTTAGATGCACGTCGACCGATCCATCCGTCTATATTCTGTTCCTAATTGTCTTATGGGTGGTCTGGAGCTGATCCTGGACTCGAACCCTGGTCCCAGGGAGGTGTGAGGCAGCAGTGCTAACAGCTGCACATGTGACTGTAAGTAACCAATGAGGATGCTCTAGGATGTTCACGCGGCCATAATGTCCCCGTTTGCAGGCAGGCCGGCTGAGGAGGAGCTCGCTGAGTGTAGGCCGTGTCAGCTGGGCCAGCGCGGTGGCGGGTCCGGTGCCGCCAAACACCTCAGCATGTCGGAGCTGATGCAGTGGGCACACTACTCGGGGGAGAGCCCCTCTTTCTCAGATGTCTTCCTGGACCGGGCGCGAGAACATGTGACATTTGCTTTCCGGAGCAGCGCCTCGAACCCACAGCCCCAGCCCGACTGAGCCGCACTGACCCTCCCCGGCATAAAAAAAAAACCGTGAAACTGATCTTTTTAGTAATTTTTAATACTGTATCTATCATAAATTTAATTTATACACATTAATACTTAATTGTTGGATGGTTTAATATCTGTATATGCAGCTCCTCTAAATAAACTTGTTCCAAGGATGTTATTGCAATGTTCCTTTGGGCTGGCTGGGGGGGGGTTGTTATGTGTGACCCCCCCCCCACCTTAATCCCGGGCAGCTGGTGTGAGCAGAGCCTTGCGCTTGAAGCTAAGCACGCGGCCTGACGGATGGCCACACGCGCGCGCACACACACGCGCACACACACGCCACTACCAGGTCGCCATTCTTGTTTTTTTTTTGTTTTTTTTTCTTTTCTGTCCCTAAGAGACTCACAGGAGGGCTTTCGGATTGAAGACCCCTACGGTTGTAAACCCAATTCCTGTCCTCCCGGAAGGATGAGTGGGTTTCTCTGTAGAGGTCAACCTCATCTTTAGTGAAATAATTTTTTTTGTTAGATTATGTAACGTAAATTTTTTCTGCCATACCATCAACAGCTTCAACATCAGTGTATTTTTAGTGGTCATTGCCGTATCCAAAGCTGTCAGCATCTGCTATTTGACAGCATTCAAATATTGCATTAGACTTAATTAAACTGTTATCAGACATGTGTGTGTATATATTCACCCAGAATTATGAGTGTGTGTATACACACATCTATATCCCATTACCTGCATCTAATTAGGTCCTAGAAAGAGCTCAGCGTGAGCTTGAATGGCGAGAAGTGATTTCCATTAATTCTTCTAACATTTAAGCAGGAATGATAACACTTTAAACAGCAATTGTCTAAATTAGCGGTTGACATAATAAATATGGATGTTTGCTGTAACATTCAATACCTTTTGCAGTAATAGCACTGGACAAAAAAAAAATAAGAAATGAGAACCATATGAGACAGATAAACTGCTGTTTATCTAGCTTCTCTCTAATGGCCTGAGACGCCAGTATTTCATGGCAGTGCTTTGGCAGTAATTGCAGTGCTGGGTCCCCAGGATGGCTCTGTATGTTATATGCAGGGCCGACTCGGGCTATAGCAGATTGCAGTGCTGGGTCCCCAGGATGGCTCTGTATGTTATATGCAGGGCCGACTCGGGCTATAGCAGATTGCGGTGCTGGCTGGGGCAGCGTTTCCCAACCCGGTCCTCAGGGACCGCCGGCCATTCCGCCTTTTAGCTATTTCCCAGCTCTCTGCCAGGCAGTCCACATTTTTGCTCCCTGACGGGAGCTGAGATGGAGCGAAAACGTGGACTGTCTCGGGGGTCCCTGGGAACCGGGTTGGGAAACGCTGGCTTAGGGCCTGTGAATTATCTGTGTGGCAGGGGAAGTGAAATGCTCATCCGTAGGGTGGGTAGGGGGGCCTTCCGAGTAAAGCTTTATCTAGGACGCCTAAGAAGGTGGAGTTGACCCTGCATATATCCCAAGGTGTAGGTGCATATATTTCATTTGAAGTTCTCATTAAAAATTGTCTCCTGCTTTCTTATGCGTTTATGTTAGTGGTGATTTCGCTTCGACATTCCGCATTCAAAATCTGTACTGGGATGTAATTTAAATGCAGAAAAGTCAAATGTGTTTCCCGTATCTTTGTTTTAAAGTGATTCTGTGGTGCCTCGGGGGAAGAGAGGAATGTGAATGATTAAAGTCCACAAAGCATTCGTACCAAATCAGGGATGAGTAACTAGGAGCTGGGTTCCATTAGCCTGCTGACGGAGGGGGATCAGTCCGGAGGGGGGCTGGGGAGGGCAGAGACAAAGCACACTGGTGCCCAACGTGGAACTCGGAATCCTGTCCAGAAAGCTAAATGCTAACGTTACCTGCTGACATGAGAAAGGCGTCATACGAAGGTGTCGCCACATGTCGACCTTCCACATCGGTTCTAGTGGCATTTAAGTCCTGGTTTCTAACACCCTGTGGACGTTTGCATCACCAGCCTCTCAATTAGGCTTAAATGAACCGTTAATGAATACTAATCAACAGATGTGTGCCTGTTTAAATGGGAGGCTACTGAAAATGTGAACTTATGAGGCACTCATGCCATTTGGATTAATTATCCAGATAAATATACAGCCATGGAAAAAAATGAGACCACAGCAGAATTTTTGTTTCCTTTCTCAATTTATGGGGGTGCATCTGTGAATTTTTTATATATATATATATATATATATATATATATATATATATATATATACATACACACATATATACACATATATTTGCAGACTGCATCTTGTTTCTCTTCTCTGTTTTTCATTAATGAAGGGCTTCTTCCTTGCTCTATGGGACGTCAGTCCTGCTTCTAGGAGTCTGATATGAACTGTCCTAGCAGTGCACATCACACCTGCACTTAATGCTTCCCATTCCTTTAGAAGGTCACTTGTCATTCTACGATTCATGAGAAACTGTCAGATAATTTGATGGTCGTCTCTGGCGTTAGAAAGTCACTCCCACCCTTTACCTGGCTGGTTTCTGGTCGTTCCCAGTGTCTCCTGCTTCACCTTATTCTTGCATACTTCTGTCTTAGGAATTTTAAACCGGGAGGAAACCACAATTAAACCAGGATTTAACGATGCAGATTTGTTTAAAAATATATACAGTGCCCTCATAATTTTTTTCCACAGCTGTATATCATGAATAATAATCTTTCAATTGTTTAGTAGGTCAGAGCTTTGGCACAATCAGATCAAGTTGTGTCCGGTTGACGTTGCCGCTTCGTTCGTACAGGACGTCCAGCCTTGTGTCTGGAGTCTACAGGCCCAGTGGGATTTTCAACAGTATACGATGTTTAGTAGTTTATTATGCATTTCAGAACAAAATAATTATTTTATTACGAGTGTTTGACAGTGATTGAGTTCAATCAACAGCAGAGGCAGGAGCTGGGAGCTGTGATGGGGCAGTTACAGGCCCAGGAGGCTGTTGGCAGCTGCCAGACCTATTTCAGCTGCGGCCTCGTGCTGTGGGCCGAACGGCCGCTGTGCTAAAACGCTTTAAAATTCATTCCCCTCGTCTCTAGACAATGAACGATTGTACAGTGATGGGAAGATCAGCGGGCTGCCGGATGGGGGGGGGTGGAGGATGCATAGAGCCCAAGGACATGGGCCTGGCGCTCTGCATGGCGCCACCTAGAGAGTGCCCACGGTGCCCTGCGCTGGCACGTGGCCCAGAGGCCTGTATGACAGCAACGTGATCCCAAGGTGAAGAGGCTGTTTATTCCCGCGGTAAGAGCCGGCGAGGCCGACTGCCCGGGAGCCGCAGTTCCGAGCCACGGTCGCGTGTCGCACGTGGAATGAGTCCCTCCATTTGTCCGGATCTCACAGATCCGGAAAGCTTCCCAAAAACACGGATCAGAAATCCCGTCCTCCATGACATGTGCACATCCTGTCCTAGGGACTCAGTTCACGTGACCTAAATAAAACTCTGATACAAACTTTAGTGCAAACGTGCATCTCCGGACAAGGTCACTCAAGGGCATTATGTCATGCAAAGATAATCCACGTGACATGAAAAGAAAAGGGAAATGAGGACAAGAATTACAGATCATAGATGGCTGAGTGAATAGGGATTAATATAAAGCCTATCAGGGCACATGCTGTCCAGATCAGGGCAGAACTCAGAATATATGAGAGAGAACGGAGTTTAAATAAAGCACTCTGTATTCTCATCAAGATGAAATGCCACATCTGGCCCCAAAGTAGGTAGACATCACTCCTGTTAACCCCTAAAGGGTAACCATTACCCAGATAGCTCACCAGTCCTGCCACCACCTTCATCACGTGGATCGTGACTGTGGTGCTTTGAGAGACCCGCACCAGTATTGGTCAGACGTGCTCTTTCCTTCCTCAAAGCGTCATTGGCTGATTTTAAAGAACGACACGGGGACCCAATCAGGCTGAGCCCGATCTGGGTGGAATCTGAATCACCAATTCAGAATTACAGCCTGTCTGATTGTCCATCCTATGTCAGGCTTCCCCTCCTTTAACTTGGATACCTCCAATGCGCCATCCTCGCTCCTGCTAACAGCCATCTTCTCCTCACTGGCCTGCGGCTTCAGGGCACTGACTTCTGCAGGCCGAATGCAGTCAGAGCGTAATGGTGTGTGATGTCGGCTTAGCTGTACTTAAGGTGGCTCATGGGATTTTTTTATATATGTCAGCTGAATGCATTAATTCGGATGTGTAGTTTGTGTGGAGGCCATTGGGAGGAGTCAGGATACCTCTGCAAACAAACCCTTCAGCCTGTAAGATTCCAGGGACACTGTTTACATTAATGATAAGCTTTTAAGATATATGCACTGCATCAGTTACCCACTCAATACACCAAGGTTAAAATGTTCAGCCAGTCCTTGTCTAAAAAATGCATCTCTCTTTCAAGCACTTATCTACTTCAGGGTTGTGTTAAGCATAGAGCCGGTCCCAAGACAAGCAGCATACAAGGAAGAGGACACCCAGAATGGGACGCCAGTCCATCTCCGGGCACACATTCACACTATTAGTGATGGCAATTCACTTAACCTCATGTTTTGGACTGTGTGAGGAAATCCACAGAGAATGGGGAGAGTATGCAAACAGGGCAGGACTCGAACCCCCAGCTCTGGAGGTGTGAGGCTACTCTGCTGTCCCCTGATCCCCCGTGTTACCTTGCTGCGCTTTTCACCACGTCACACACAGGGCATGTAGACCTGCTTTCCTCCACCATTTTCCCGTGGCCACTCTCCCAGCATGCCCGGCGCTTTCAGCAGTCTGCAGGGCTGCCACGTGGCCACTCCCCCCTCCCATCCTCCTGCCGTCCCCCATGACTTGGCTCATCCATCCAAACGGCTCCCTGCAGCCTCAGCCTTCACTGTCATCGGCAGCGTTTAATACACTCCTTTTCACTGAGACAACAAAACCGAAGTTACATAAATCCGGCTGTTACATAAATCCCCTTTTGTTACAGTGAGTGTGAAACGCTGAAGCAATCTTTCATTTTGAACCTTGTGTATCAGGAAGGGGGGGGGAATAGCCACAGGCAAGGCATAGGTCATCTGCTAGCTGCTAATGGGTCCTTGTGCACCCATGCTAGTGAAAGGAACTTGTCTTTCGCACCATCGTTAGTCATG